CAAGTTTGTAGGAAATCAGTTCAAAAATCGCGAAGATATAATTTTTGAAATGTGTAAATTTTCCAGGAAAACATTTGCCGTTTGGCATCTCTAGCCTTAGTAAAGCGGTGCGCATACCATATATCCGTGAAAACCTTGGCAAGAAATTCAGGCACAAAATTTGCACAAATTAGTACGTTCAGTAGACTTTACGGTAGATCTACAAACCTTAGGACTAACTTGTACAATTGTTTTACTGAGTTAAGGATATGGTATGTAGTCTGTATACCGACAAAAGGTATTCCTATATTCACAAGTTTTGAACCGCTTATTTCCTTCAAACTTCACAGTTTTATTAATTTCACTATGCTCTTTCCAACCATTTAAATATTCTTGTGTCCTGCCAGTTTTGGATATTCTTTGAATTGGACCCTACTCAAAAATATCTTGGATCCAAGGCTACATTGGCAGATACAGGATTTCAAAAAGGGGAGTTTACAAAATGGCTGCCACGCAGAAATAGCTGGTAATATTGGCTTCACTAAAGGGGGGTTCCAATTTCATTCTACTGAAGATAAAGAACATGATTGGCTTCACAAGGTCTCATAAAAGAAGGGATCCATGGAACCCACGGAACCACACCTGGATCCGCCACTGGGCTAAGACGTAAATACAAAGAAATCACKCTTCTTGGTGGAATTTGTGGCATTTCTTTTGCACTGCAATGTTAGCCTCGCATCCAAGACAATTTTAAAAAGGGTCTATTATTAAGTTCATTAATGCTGATAGCTGGCAGTCATCAATTATTAATGGGGAGACATGTTGTATACCCAAGTGCCAACATTTTTCTCTCTCTTTTCTCATTGGCCAAGAGGTTACCACGCATGTGCTCTTATCGAGCCAAGAGCTCTTTTATCATGGCTGCGTGTCATCCAGCTTTATAGATTTACGAATAGTTTTTAGCGAAATAATAATTATCGTTTTATAAAATACTAGTTTTACCTGCAAGTAAGTGGCTGTGAAGAAATGTGTTTAGGTGAATAACTTGTAAGAGTTTTTATCGGAAAAAGGAAATAGAAAATTTGATACCTTTTATCTTGCAAGTTGACTTTTGACAAGTTGGTATTACTATTGAATTGTCTATTTTCCCAGGAAATGCTAAAGTTTTAAAGTTTCCAAGCAAAACAGTCACCGATTACGTTATGTACGAGAACCCATTCATCCAGCTGACAGCGTTCACCCTCAGCATGTGGGTACAAGTCGATACAAGTACTACCTTTCACACAGCCTTCTCCTACTCCACTACTCGTCAGAGTAACGGACTGTCGATGGAAGTCAGAAGTACTGAAACAAGAATATTACTTGATGACGAGATTCGGTAGGTTGGATTAATACGGGAAGGGGGGATGGGGGATGGGGGTGTAGTAGCGGTGCTTCAAATACAGGGATGTACCGCTTGGATCCGAGCACCCTTTCTAAGACGAGAATATTTTGAAAAAACATACCTGTTCAAGAAAAAGCACTGTGAATTTTAACTCTATCAATCGAAGACCTAAGAGAATGTAGTGCTAGAAATTATTTGGTGGCGAAAAAAAAATCCGTTTTTCCAAAAATTGAATTAGTACCTAATTTATGGAGCGAGTGGCTAACAAACCTGTTGCTGTCAGTCCATGATCTAATTGGATTTTAGAAGTTGCTTTTTGCGGAGGGAGAGGCTAACTGAGCAACACATCAGTATTAGTATTATTGATAGTGGTAGAAGTATATATAGAACAACTATGTCTCTAATTAATGATAGGCAGCCACGCTATACCGATCTCCGTGTGATGGGTTCTTTTCCTCGCCTGTTCTTTTCCATCTTAAGGTCGGTCAGGTTWGTTTTCTAAGACCMCRAGGCAGCAATTGGACAAGTTTTGAACAGTTTTATAACAAAACGACGAGGAAAATTGTGTTTATCAAGATTCATCGTCGTTCATCTTTGTAAATTCTGCGACGGAAATTTGCACAAGGAACAAACGACTCTCATTAACTGAGAAGATCCTTTTGTTGTACTCTACACAGAATGTTGTATTATTTACAAGATATGTGTACACAGATCAATAAAAAGGAAGGTCGTGGCCCATATTCCTCAGATTGTTGTGCATCAAGAGACACAAGCGTCCTTGTGCATATTTTCCATGTGCCGCTAAATAGGGATTTGGTCTTTAAACTTAATCCGAGTCCTGTAAGACTAGTGGACAATGGTTCTTGCATTACCAGCTCCAGACAATCGAATTGCAACACCAGGATGACTCTTTCTATGCACAACAAAGGAAACCCATACAGGAACACTAATAACTTGGTTACCTTGCGTCCTTCTCGTGGAATGGGCATCAACCTGCATAAGCAGGTGTTGTTACGTAATCTCAATGCTCGCTCCGTGAGAAACAAAGCAGCAGTAATAATTGGTTGCCATTACCGAACACTGGCTGACAGCTAGAGACTCTGCTGTCAGAGCAGAGCTGTGCCCAGATGGCTACAATATTCTTGATCACCCAAGGCTTGATCGCCGCGGCGGGAGGACTGGGTTTATCTACCGTGATTCGCTTGAGTCAGCGACCAGTGTCACCACATAACATGCGGCTCATTATTATCTACAGACCGCCGTACTCAGAAGAACATCGTGTCCCCACAAGTGTATTTCTCTCTGAGTTCCCTG